GATTATCAAGGGCAAATTGAGAGACACTCATGAGGTTTTTAGTGATTTCAGGTACAAATAGGAGGTTTTTAAGAATGAACTGAGGTGATGTTGGTTATTAAAGCTCAAAATAGAATTTCCAATATGAGATATTTTGAGGTTTTTACCATTACCTACTTGCACCTTCTCAGATCCTTGGTATTCAGAGACAAGGTTGAGATTTGACAGCTCATAAGTGACATGGTTGCTAGCACCCGAGTCAGGATACCAGCTGCTGTCTTCTGAGGGTTCATATGAGGGAGTTGATAGGAGATTAGTTGAATGCACTGCTGGATTTCTGTTCCTCACTTGTTGACCTTGAGTGTTGTTGTTAGAACTGTTGTTTTGGCCATTGTTGGGAAAAAAATTGCTTTCAAACCGGTACCAACATCTATTTGCAGTGTGGCCAGTGTAAAAGCATACTTGGCATCTTACACTCTTGTTAGACCGGCCTCTTCCTCTCCCTGATATGCCTCCTCTGGGCCCATTTCTTCCTCTTCCTCCTTGATGGTTACCTCTTCCTCTGCCTTGTGTATTTTCAGTGTAGTTAACACTTGGAGTAGAGCCATCAAAACTGTATTGTGGCTGTTCTGAGGTGATGCTCTCAATCCTTGTCTCAAAAGTGAGCAGGAAAGATTGAACTTCTCTTAGAGAGATAGCTTCTGCCTTGGACATGATGGATACCATCACTGGGTGATGTAGAGGATGAATACGAAAGGGAAAGAGCAATCTCAAGAGAGAACAGATAAATTTTATTCAATCGATGAAAACTGTTTTCTCTCCTCTGTTCGCAGTACATTAATAAGGAGTTTCCACTAACTCCACTAAAGCACGATAAATCCTAATAATTAAAGAAACACCCCTAAACTAATAAAATAACACAATTGCAACCACTAAAGATAAATAGACCCAAAAGTAAAATAAAGCAATAAAATAAATGTGTTAGACACGCAAACGGTCATATTTCTGCAAGAACATCAACGCGGCCTCGTCTCCATCATCCTCCCCGGGTTGAGGAGGATTCGCCCTCGAATCCGAATGGGCCTCGTCTTCTTCCGAGTTGTCACCCTCGAACGGCACCAAATGCTTGACGTTAAAAACGTCGGAAGTGCGAATATGGGACGGAAGCTTGAGGCGATAGGCATTGGGATTATTTTTTCCACAACCTCCACCGGACCAATTTTCCGAGCAGATAATTTATTGTACTCATGAGCAGAAAATCTATCCTTCGTCAGGACAGCCCAAACAAAATCACCTACCTCAAACTCCAGGTGGCGACGACGAGTATCAGCATACTTCTTATAAGAAGCAGTAGCCGCCTCCAGTCGGGCCTGGGCTGCCTCGTGTGTGTGCTGCACATCGGCGATGAAATCCGAAGCACGCCGATCGCCACTGCTGCCGGACGGCAACGCCACTAAGCCGGTCGGCCCGCGCGGATGAATGCCATAGACCACAATAAAAGGAGCGAAGCCGGTCGCACGGCTAAGAGCCGAATTATGCGCGAACTCCGCCTGACTTAGGCGCTGGTCCCAACTGCGAATGTTATCCCCCACCAAACAACGTAGCAAGTTCCCTAAGGAACGATTCACCACCTCAGTCTGACCATCCGTCTGAGGATGATAGGCACTGCTGAAGTCGAGTCTAGTGTCTGACATACGCCATAAACTCCTCCAAAAATAGCTCAAGAAGCGGGTATCGCGATCAGAGACAATCGCTGAAGGCAGACCATGAAGGCGGTAGATCTCCCGAAAAAACAACTGGGCCACATGGACAGCATCAATGGTCCGTTTACACCGAATGAAGTGTGCCATCTTTGAAAATCTATCCACCACAACAAAAATCGAATCAAAACCCCTCTGAGTGCGAGGCAAGCCCAACACAAAGTCCATGCTGATGGCCTGCCATGGCTGCGACGGAATAGGCAGGGGACGGTATAAACCAGCATTCGTGGCAACACCTTTCGATATCTGACAAACACGGCAACGAGACACAAAACGCCCAACATCACGGCGCAAAGAAGGCCAAAAATAAGAGCGACTCACCAGGTCGACGGATCTGTCGCGGCC